TCTTCCTCGACGGAAGCTGTNCTCAACCTTGTAACTCGGATTAAGTGTAATCGAGAGAGGAAGAAGAGGAGTGAAACCTCCGGTGATGTACTCTGTAATCACATTGATTATAGTGGATTGAGAGACTGGTTCTCTCCCCGGTGATGTATAGCGGCTTCTCCACATTGGAGAAGTGCGGTGAACACCGGGTAAACAAAGTCTCATGTGTTTTTTTTTTTTTATTGCTTGATTCCGTGATTGATAGATTCGTTTAAGCTTAAGGTGATTATTGAATTGAGCCAAGATTACAGGATAAATCCTCAACAATACCAAACTTGGTAAACATACCAGATTCTGAAAACATCAACGTAGACACATATTAAAAACACCAAACCACTAAAACCAGACTCAGAACTAAAGGACATATACAAAAGGTAATCTAGATACATAATACATTGATTCCAACCATACCAAGGATCCCAAGAAAAACTCATTCCATCCCAATGAGCGCAGTGGGAGAATAAATAGCTTGTAACCACAGTTAGAAAGACCTGGACCGTATCAGAGTACCACTTTACCTCATTCACAAATCCGTAGAGAGAACCATTCACCAATCCGTAGAGAGATAATCAAGACTCGAACCCATGCTTTGTAACTCTTTAAGACGGACACATCAACCACTATACTAAAGAAACTTTTTGATATTATTCTACACATTTGCAATTATATATGCTACTATACTTTTTCATCTTCTCTAATTAAAACTTTTGGATATTATTATTTTTGATTCTTATAAATATATTAACATGTTTTTTTTTAATTATATCATATTTAATAAGTTTATATTATACTAAAATAGAAATAATAAAATATTTATATTTATACAAATTAAATATATTTTATTTTGTACCTATTTACAAAATGTCCATATATAAATTTTTACCTGAGGAAATATACTTTTCCAAAATAAAAGAAATTACCATTCAAGTTTTAAATTTTTAAAATAATTTATATGGAAATTTTGAAATATGTACAAAATATGAAATATATTTAAATTTGTATAATATGATTATTTATATTTTAATATAATATGAACTTATTAAAGATATAATAATTAAAAACATTTTAATATATTTATAAGAATCAAAAATAATAATAACTTAAGTTTTAATTAGAGAAGATGAAAAACTATAGTAGCATATTTATTGCAAATGTGTAGTACTATATCAGAAAATTTCTTTAGTATAGTGGTTGATGTATCCGTTTTAAAGAGTGACAAAACACGGGTTCGAGTCCCGGAATATGCATATTTAATTTTTTAAAAAAATAATGAAATCAAAAAGACGTCGTTTTATCATTTTAACGGTTGATTAACTTCTGTTACAGTCAATGTAGGTTTAGGCACGCTTAAAAAGTTCAGGTAGTTTTTTTTGAATTATAACGTAATTTATGTTGTATTTGGCACTGACAATTTGTTCGGTGTATTTGGCACGATTGAAATTGTTTGAGTAAGAATATGACCTTTTCCCTCAATTTTTGGTTATATCATACGAATTATGATTATTGGATTAAAAGTATAAAAGATCATTTATCAATTTTTAAAAATTAATTTTTGTGCTCATCTGAGCAATTTTCTTGAAAGTTAAATAGGTTATGGATTATTTGACATTTGGTTACAAAAGCTTAACAACCAAGGGGCCCAATCAAGATATGTCTTTTCTCCATTTATAAAGTTATAAGCTTTTCCCTTTTTGTATTATTTTTACCAATGGGCAATGGTACTGATTGAAATGTGTTCTGGCATAATCGAAGAAACTAAGGACCGGGTTTAAGAAAACCTTGTTGACTATACCGAATATTAAGAAATGGGAGATATTAACAAAAGGAGACAAAGAAAATGAGTGCATTCAAGAGAGGGACAGTGTGTTGCACATGTTTTCATGTGCTTCCAATACTTGCGCCATTTTTATATCCGTCTACTCCATCCCCTAATCATTTTTATCACAAAAATCAAAAAATCATTAATTTTCATGTGTTGCGTTGGTTTGATTTCAAGAATATCAGGTTTCCTTGTTTGAAATCATCCTTAATGAAATTAATGATTCGATTTCATTAAAAAAAAAAACATTCGATTTCATAAAAAAATTTCTAACCCAGTAGTTTGGTTAAGATTTCCTTAGTGTCTATATACTACGAATATAATTTTGGGTGAGTCCAAAAAAAAAACATGACTGATTTCCGTATATTCATTTTGGAACATTACAACATTTTTGTTTGTAACCACATATCATAATGAAAATAATTTTTAAAATTCTTAAAGAAATATGTTGGTCCAACTCAACATATATTATATTTCTATTAAACTAATTATTATGTTTTATTAGTAGTGTACAAAAAAAATCTTCTGTATTGTTTCCTTAAATATAATCTACGGAACTACTTAATATGATTCACATATATAACATAATTAATGATTATGAATAATAAAGATTTGATAATATCTTTTTATCCTCTTTACTTTTTATTTAATTTTATATTAATAAAAGAAATTAAACAATCACATTAATCATATAATAAAAAAAAAATATTTTTTATATATTATATTTTGAATTTTTTTAAACAACCATAAATTAGGTAAATCTCACATTGAAAATTTTGTGATTAATAGTAATATTTTTTAATTGAGCCAATCGTTTTTAATGAGTCTTAAACAATTTTTAGTGATTTACTAAATAGATCACGTATATAATAGAGTATGTTTTGGTTTAAAAATTGTTACATACCGAAAATCACTATGAACTATCATCCTTTTTTAAAAAAAAAATTGTTACAATTAAGAATATAGGGCTGGGCAAAAACTGAATCCAAATAACCGAACCAAATCTAATCCCAAAAGTAGTAAAGATTTTTAACCAAAATTGGTTAGATATCCAAACGGTTCAAAAGTTTTGTATCTAGAGAATCGAAACTAAATCAAAATATTTGGGGTATCCAAGTGTACTCGAATAAGATTTATATATTTAAATATATTAATTATTTTTTAAATTTAACATCTAAAAAAATACAAAATACATGAGATGTTTTAAAGTTTTCCAAAATACTTAAACATATATAAAATAGTTAAATGTACATTTTTAAAATAACTAAACGATACTCTAAATACCAAAAATATTCAAAATATTGATTGATTTTTTGTCCAAATATTTAAGATAAACCAATTTTATGTTAGTTTAAGTATTTTGGCTTTTATTTTTGTTATTTTTACTTTTAGATTTTGAGAAATTTAAAGTATATATAAACTTGAATCTTTATTAAAAAAATTAAATGGATTATCCGAACCTAAACCCAAACCGAATATATAAAGATTCAAACCAAACCCGCAAAGATCTAAACCAAACTAAATGGTACCCGAATATCCATCCATAATCAAATATAAAAAAGTTATTGATAAAAGAATATATTTTTAAATACAACATATTTTTAAAAACAAATTCATTCCGTGCATGGTGCGGATTATCATCTAGTTATTTATTTTTGAAATATATGATTAATTATTAATTATGAAGATTAATGGAGAAAATCTTACTAAATTGAAAGCCTTATCCAAAAAAACCTTAACCCTTTTTTCAGAAAAAAGAACTTACATAAAATGTTCATTATGGTATACATAAGATTGTCTGTCATATGTAGATTTGATATAACGGTTCTTGTTTTTGTCAACGATAGATCGGTTCAATATAGCATTTGTAGAAAAATTCAATTTATATAATGAGTGTATCTGTCAATTGTAAATTTTCTCTTACTAATTCTCATACTTTATAATAAATAAGTCAGTGCTAAAAATAATACTCTCTCCTTTCATTTTATTTGTTGTTTAGATTTTTGCACATAGACTAAAAAAATTTTAATTTTATATATTTTAAAAATAAAAACATAATTACATATAAATTTATCTATTTTTCAATCAATAATAAAATAAAATAAGATATAAAATTAATAAATTTGGATCGAAATTATAAAACAAATATATGTTTTGAAACAAAAAAAATCTTTCAAAATGATATGTAAATTGAAACGGAAGAAATATTCAATTTCAATCAGTTATCAGATTATCATGATTTTATGAAAGTTAGAGAATCAGAAAAGCCTAATATCTCTAAAATATTTATGAATTAGTAAAAATATTGAAGATGCAAGGAAATGCATGATTATATATATAGTTTTTCTGAAATGTATCTGTACTCATAAATTCAATACACGCAGCATACATATATTCTATAGTGTGGACAGCTGTATGTGTATAACATAATGCATAATGGATCATGACGAGGATGTGGCATGAAGAAGGCAGAAAAAGGTGTTGCTGTTTCTTTCTTCTGTGGCCACCTAAGTTATCAATAATGCCGCAATGTACAATAAACCCAAAAAATCACATAGTTTTACTAAACTTATAATTTCACAATTAGAAGCCACTAAAATATATATATTTTGAATAACAAACCACTAAACATATTAGTCGTTACCCTTCTATATGATTTACAAACATGACAATCACAATGCATATAATACTTTGATAAAAACATACAAATTAAGAAATGGAGTATATATTTCTTAAAATTATTATTAAGAAGCATTTAACTAATCATAAAACTATGGAAAAGTAATTGATCAAACAGATTTTAGTAAGACGAATCTCAAAATGTAAACATTTTATACATTAGAAATCAAATAACATCTTATTTTTCTGTTAATATCTTAGATTTTAACCCGCTACCTAATGAGATTTATTACAGGCTAAAGATTTTTGAAGTCACACAAAACAATTAAAGAGAGGTTGGGGTGTCTATTAAAATTGAAGGACCCATAGAAAAACACCTACATTACATATGCCTTACTGCATTAAAAAGAAAAGCACTTTTCACTCCACATTAAACTAAAACTAAAAGTTAATTTCCTACTCAATCAACCCACAAAAAAGAACAAGTAAGAAAAAAAAGAGGAATCTACTTATATCTCACTCATTAAGTTTAATATTGAAAAGTGTAGCAATCAACCTTTATATTCTACAAGTAAAGTGGTCACAGACTGTAAAATCAGTTTTTGTGTTTTGTTTTCTTCCTCCCTACATTCTTCCAAACCTGATAACAGATCAGAAAACATCTTTCCGTGTTATTTCTTGGGTGAAGTTTTGTTTTAGTTTTTATTTTTTTTGCTAAAATTTGTAAGTTTTTGGGAATTTCTTGAGAGAAACAATGTTTAAGTCATGGAGGAACGACAAGAACAAGATCAAAGCTGTGTTCAAGCTTCAGTTTCAGGCAACTCAGGTCTGTGTGTTTTGTCTCTTTTAAATCTCGAAAACCCAATAATCAGAAAATGGATGTTGACTAGATCTGTCAAAGTTTCAAGATTTGTTTTGTATATGAAAAATAAATAATGTGACCTTTTTATGCGAAGGTACCAAAACTGAAGAAAGCAGCTTTGATGATCTCATTGGTACCTGATGATGTTGGGAAGCCAACCTTTAAGCTGGAGAAAGCTGAGGTTAAGGAAGGGATCTGTTCTTGGGAGAATCCAATCTATGTCTCAGTGAAGTTGATTAAAGAAGCCAAATCTGGGATTGTTCGTGAGAAGATTTACCATTTCGTTGTTGCAACTGTGAGTGAATTCAACAATGTCTTTTCCAGTTCTTGTGAAAAAAAATAAAGAGAAGACTTTTTCAGCTTTTTTCCTCTAAATCTCTCTTCAAAAATGGTTTCAGGGTTCTTCCAAATCTGGATTTTTGGGAGAAGCTTCGATTGATTTTGCAGATTTTCTTACAGAAGAAGAGCCATTGACTGTCTCTTTACCTCTTAAGTTTGCCAACTCTGGTGCTGTCTTAAATGTAACCTCTCTTCTCTTCTCTTCTTAAAGCTCTATCAGTATTATTGAGAAGGTTCAAAGATTATAGTAAAGATGTTTGTGTGTTGGTGCTTGCAGATAACAATTGAGAGGATCCAAGGAGAAAGTGATTCAAGGTAAAATAGTTTGTATATCAATATTTGTTATCTGTTAAGAGATTCTTGACTTGCAAAACTTTTGCAGACTTATTGAGGAAAATAAAGACCAAACACTCTCCAATGAGAATAGCTTCAGAAGTCTACCTAGCAATGATGACTTGGAGGGGTATAACCAAGATGTAAGGTTCTTTGGTTCTTGGTTCAGATGGTTAAAACTGTCTCAAAGTCCTTTGAATTGAACCTTGAATTGTTTTGCAGGAAAGGATCTTGAATAGAAACACGGCTAAGTCCTTTGATTCCATTGGTGAATCAGAGTGGATAGATGGTTCGGATGGGAACACACGCTTACCTCAACGACATAACTCAATTCCCGCAACCAAAAACGGGCATAGGAGGTCAAACACAGACTGGTCAGCTAGTTCAACATCTGATGAAAGCTACGCCGAGTCAAGAAACAGTCCTGAGAACAGTTTACAGAGAGGATTCTCTGTTGGTGGTACTGATTCAAGTGACCCTGTTGAGAGGCTAAAGATGGAGTTGGAAGCTTTGAGGAGGCAATCAGAGTTATCAGAGCTGGAAAAACTGTCTTTAAGAAAACAGGCGGTAAAGGAGAGCAAGCGGATACAGGAACTGTCCAAGGAAGTTAGTTGTCTCAAGGGTGAAAGAGATGGAGCTCTGGAAGAATGCGAGAAGCTCAGGTTGGAGAAGAGTAGAGACGAAGCTGATGCTGAAAGCAGATTGAAATGTGTCAGTGAGGATTCAAGCAATATGATTGAGGAGATTAGAGATGAGCTGAGCTGCGAGAAGGATTTGACTAGTAACCTTAAGTTACAGCTGCAGAGGACACAAGAGTCCAACTCCAATTTGATTCTTGCTGTGAGAGATCTCAACGAGTTGTTGGAGGAGAAAAAGAATGAGATATCTTCTCTGAACAGGTCACTAGAAGAGACCAAGAAGCTTGCAGGAGATTCTGGACACAAGGAAAATGAAGAGATAGCTACACTGAATCAACAAATTGAAGATTTAGATTGGGAGTTGGACTCTTACAGGAGAAAGAACGAAGAACAGGAGATTCTTTTGGATGATCTTACTCGGGAATACGAGTCCTTAAAGGAGGAAAATCTGAAACATGCATCTTTGAAGTTGGAAGGCTCAAAACCAGCAGATGAATTCTCTGATTCCAAGGATGTTATAGAAGAATTGGAGTCTCAGATAGAGATATTGGAAGGCAAACTGAAGCAACAAGCGCTGGAGTACTCTGAATGTTTGATTACAGTTAGTGAACTTGAGAGTCAAGTGAAGGAGTTAAAGAAAGAGCTTGAGGATCAAGCACGAGCTTTCGATGAAGATATGGACACAGTGATGCGGGAGAAAACCGAACAAGAGCAAAGAGCCATCAAAGCAGAGGAAACTCTGAGGAAAACGAGGTGGAGCAATGCAATAGCAGCAGAACGGCTTCAAGAGAAATGCAAGAGACTTTCTCAAGAAATGGAGTCTAAGCTGAGCGAGTATGAGAACCTGACAACAAAGACTTTGGCTGAAGCCAACGACCTTCGTCTGCAGAACAAAAATCTAGAGGAAATGAAAGAGAAAGCACATGGAGAGATTGCACAAGAGAGAGAGATGAAGAAGAACATGGAAGAGAAGAACGAAGCTTTGTCAATGAAAGTCCAGATGCTTGAAGGTGAGGTCCTGAAGCTCACTAAGATGACAGAAGAATCAAATGCAGCAGCCACCGAAACGGAGAAGATAATACAAGAATGGAGGAAAGAAAGAGATGAGTTTGAGAGGAAGTTTGCTTTGGCTAAAGAGGAAGCCGAGAGAGCGCAGAAAGAGTTGACTCTCAGTAAGACTTCAAACGATGAAAAAGAGACCAGGCTTGGGAATCTGAAGAGAGAAGTAGAAGGTCTAAGCGTGCAGTACAGTGAATTACAGAACAGCTTTGTGCAAGAAAAAATGGAGAATGAAGAACTGAGGAAAGAAGTATCAAAGTTGAAAGTTGATATCCGGAGAAAAGAAGAGGAGATGACTAAGATCCTAGATGCAAGGTATGTAGATGTAACACTTGAGTAAATTTTCATGTTTAGATTTGACTTCTTGTTAAGATTCTAACATAAAAATTAACAGGATGGAAGCAAGGTCACAGGAAAATGGAGAGAAAGAGGAGAATCTAGCAAAGCTATCAGACGAATTGGCTTACTGTAAGAACAAAAACAGTTCAATGGAGAGAGAGTTGAAGGAGATGGAAGAGAGATATTCAGAGATAAGCTTGAAATTTGCAGAGGTTGAAGGAGAAAGACAACAACTTGTGATGGCTGTCAGAAACCTCAAGAACGGTAAGAAGTTTTAGTATTCTGTATTGGTGGCTTGCTAATAACAATTGTTTGTAACATCGTAGACGAAGAGTAACTATATGAAGTTGTGTTGTTAATAG